TGTGCTCTGCCCACCACTGGTATCGAAATCCGATTTCTAGCAGTATTTCTAGCTGTGCCACTAGGGGGGGGGGGAGTTTATAGACGAACCAGTAAACCAAAACTGGTGTACTTTTGACTTATAAAATTGTTCTCTGCAACTAGACATGTAACCTTAAAACCACAGTAATTTATGCTATTCTTTAAATATATATATATATATATAATACCAAATATTTTCTTTCTTTAACTAGTTAACGATAAAAAGTTGTGTAGAAATTACAGAGTGAAATGATAAAAAAAAGTCGATTTTTTAAAAGAGGTTTTCTTCAAACGTTATTAAACAGCTCGAGGGTTATAACCAGATACTAGTGAAGAACAATGCTAAATTCAATGAGGGAGGATATCACTAGCATTTGAGAACTAGATTATGTCCGAATGAATGAGAACACGATCACTTCAACAAGAGTAGATAGTAAATATGCAAAGATTATAAGTCACTAGAGCGCTACTTAATTAATAGAACAACATGAATTTTGAAAATTATACGTTTTTGTACAAGCGTTCCCATAGTTTTACGGGGATGAGTTCAACCACGAAGGTGCAGTGACTTCAGTGCCCATTCGGCATCTAACGGGGCCCAGAAGGGCTAAGCCCCCACCCCGAGCTACACTATTTAAAGGTAATTGAACAGTGAAAAGGTGGAGTAAAGTGATATAAATATATAAGTTAATATTACCCCATGAATTGGACGTGGCGCGAAAAAGGTATGTTCATTTAAAATGCGGACAATGGACAAAATTTAACATACTGTGAGTATTACAACAACAATGTAACAATGGTTATTACCTAGGATTCAGTAAAAGTGCAAACAAAATAACAATCCCCGAAGAGGGGGAGGAAGAAGTCTACACTGAACCTGACCCTCCCTGGTCGAAAACATGGACCCAGTCCCGATTTTGCTGTTGTGTTAAACTTATATTAAAGTTTTTCTTCATTACCCATTCAAGCCGTCTCCAACCATTATTAGTCTCAAAGTGGGTTTCTCGTTATCGAATTTAAATTACAATAAAGTTTTTGACTAGATGCCTAAACTTTCACAACATTCTCACAAGAAATAAAAGTTTTCATTAAGTAGACAAAGCGTTATCAACCTGCCGCAGAAACTTGTGAAGTTATATCTCAAGCCTTGTCATCATCAATAAGCATTGTTTAGATTTTTCTTTATAAAAATAAGATACATAAAGCATGTTTCAAGTACTTCTTCTTCTTCTTCTAAGTTATCCTGGAAAAGGTATGACTCACCAAACAGGAATTGTTGAAAAATTGATAATGGGCGAGCGACCTCTTACAAATTACGATAAATAATGGTTGGAGACGGCTTGAATGATGAAGACAAAACCTCGTCGAAACGTTGTACACCGCCTGTTCTGTTGGTCTGCAATTCAGTTACAAGTGTTCAACAGATGTTCCCCTTAATCTTCTAGAAAGTGTTTTATGGTGAAATGATGCATAAACAAAGTTGTCATACAGTGCGCATCTATTTCATAGGTGTCACTGTTTATTGAAGGCAGATGTGAATGTATATTTTATAGAAAGGGGTACGAAATTTACATTTTAGGATATTTTTAAACTTATAACCTATGCATGACACTTAAAAAATTATTCAACCAAAGTTTTAAATAGACATTGTAAAACAATATTCTAAATCTATATAAATTTCTCGCAAGTTTCTCGATCAAACACCACAATTCTCATATCGTTAGAAAGGTCTTTGTCCCAGGAGTCGGATTGCTTATTGGTTTTTCCATGTAGAGTCATTTTACCTGTTATTTTTTTTCTTAGTTAACCTTTTCAATGCAACGAGTATGGTACACCATGACACAATTTCGTTGTCATCACGCGACGACTGGCTTTGATTTCAACTTTAGTTTTATATATATATATATACAAAGTATTTCACACAAATAACACTTAACCTGCGTGTAATTTCCTAAAAAATGAACATTACATTAGATACTATTTCTGTGGGCTTTCTAAGATACGCATGCACAGTTTGTTCAAAACCATATGCTTATCACCTAGTGGACGCATATTCAGACGTTTCTGTATATACAGCTAAGTTTTCCTTCATTACAACTTTATATTTCAATACTTTTGCTTTGGTTCGTTTCATAGACTGCTGTAAACACCTTTTAGCTACTTTTTTCTTAACTACGGGTCTTATTCTTTGTTTTTGTGCGTTTCTATTCTTTATTTTAACTTGTAAAACCATGTCATACACAGAACGCTCATAACTGTTTCATACTCTATACTCTATTGTAATTACCATTACTTTGCTTAATTGTTTACTTTACATGTAGTTTTATTAAATAAAATTATGTCTACGTGAGTTTGTTTCTTTTCAAATAGACCAGAACTTAACGATCTGACTCATAATGTCTTCAAGAAAGCGGCGTGCGTGAAAATGATAGAGTAAAGAAAATTCAAGAGAAGGACATGAAAACTGCCCCAAATATTTTGCGGGTCGCTGCTAGTCCTTTAGTAATTTGCACTTCCTATAAATCACGTTTTTTTGTATGCAAGTATTATTGAATACACATTTGTTGTTCAAGGTTTGTTTAATACAAAATATTTTTATAAAATTATAGGGGTTTGGGGAAAGTTCAAGATACAGCGAGCTAGACCTTTAGTTTAAAAAACAAAAATAATTGTCTTGGGTCTGAAAACTTTATCGCCCTGAAAAGTGCGAATTGAAAATTTACAACCACGTTTCATGTAATGAAAGAACATGATATTTTTTTTTAAAACAATCTTGCTTATATACAATTATTTGTAAGTCCAAAGCCATATTCTTTTTTTGTAATGTATATTTTAAACTGGCATGGTAGATTTCACTGTTAGAAACTTAAAACTTTTTTTCTGGAAAAGGTGCATTTAGCCAGTGGTGTCACGGTTTGGTTCTGTTATAAAACACTTACTGGAATAGAAAGTCGCTCAGAAAATTGTGTTCGAATAAGTTTATTTTTGAAGGGGAGGGCAAGGACTTATTTGATGTCAATTTTTTGTTGCTACTTGAAACATGATCATATACATTATACAACAAGCAGTACTGTGCGATTAAAAGTAATACCATTGATATTGCAGACAATTCGAATGAAAAGCATCGGAGATCACATTATAAAGTTAATGGCATTATTGTATGAAATGCTTTTAATACATGAATGTATTTCTTTTTCTTAAATTTGAAACGTTTGTTAAATATACTTTTTGAAGCTTTTGTATTTTATAGTCCTGCAGTTAAACATTTCTCTTTCAAGTTATAAAAAAAATTGGGAAGTTAGCATGCACGTATGTGAAAGAGAATGGAACAGTGCACCTCTGGGAAGAATTATAACTTAGAAGAACGTACATACATATGAGCTACTAGAAAATGAAAGCCCTAGTTTACAATGTAGTGAAATGAAAATTTTGATATTCTACTGAGTTGTATGGACATTTGTGTACTTCTGTTTTCATATTTCATCTCATCTTACGACACTAAAACTTTTTCAAGAATGCATATTAACATGGCCAAGTACAGTTGGGTACGATACTATTGAACTTAAATTATAGTGATAATTGTATATATGAAACTTTCGGTGAATCCATAGAACTTATAAAAGTTGGTTTTGATGCTAAATTTGTTCAGAAACTTCTAACTAAACTGTTTTTCCCTTATTTCTAACACCGTACTTGTATAAAGCCAGGTAAGTGAAAAAAAAGGCACAGAAAAATAACTACAAATTGTGTAAGAAAACGTTTATTGGAACAGTTTAGCAACATAGTGTAAGATGTGAATATTATCCTAGTATTTATTGTAAAGCACCAATTCAACATGGGCTTTATCTGTGTTTCTTGTACTTTTAGCTTTAGACTTTGAAAATTGACTATGCTTACTTAGATATAACAGATTAATTAATTAAACCATTCCATATTCAATGCATGTTGTTTTAATCAGAAAGGCTTTATCAACCTTAATGTTATCTGTGGATAAATTTAGTTTTTCAGTTACTTTACTTTGATTAAATACTGCTTGATCTGATGCCCAGCCTCCATACTCTGTATTAAGATAGTTTATTGTATCTGCTGGTGTGACTCCAAGTAAATATTTAATTGGACGATCCCTTTTATAAAGTGATTAGGTCATAACCCTCCATTTGAAACACATAGACCTTTGACCTCTAAGCTCTGTACAATCTTATACAACTCTAACTTCTTGTACTTATTAAAATCTACATTCAATGGAATCTCATCTTTACAGGACCATTTAGTTATGTTATGTGTGATTTCAGCAATAAGTTGAAAAGTTTAGCTAAGATGCTGTTGAATAGTGTCAACACAACAAACTTAGGTTCAACTTCAGTTTTACAAATGTCGCTAAAAGTCGTGGTTTAATACCCGTAGAGGGCACAGCACAAATAGCCCATTGTGTAACTTTGTACTTAATAACAAACAAACAAACCAGGAGCAGGTCCGATATTTGAGGGCCGTGGGTGCGTTATAAGCTTTTTTGTTAACTTTATTGCCAATATGTCTACATCCCTCCGGTATGCACTAAAAATCTTGAAAATTATCAGTCTCACTGTGATGCAATGACACATAAATACCTGATCTCCATGTTAACAATATTACTTTTAATTTATTTAGTGCCTTTCTGAGTGTTTTCATTTAAATGCGAATTCGCTTTCACATTTTGAGCGTTCACATCATTAAATATCTATTACTTAAATAATTCACTCTTCCATAACTAATATTGTTATCAGTAAATAACGATAATGTATAAATGGCTTATGATTATGCGTACGTAATATAAAACAGTGTCATAGTGTTGATCGGCCAGTCTTACATTAGGCTGTTCTTACATTTGGCAGACATGTTTTTCAATGTGGAATGCTTGAAGTATCACCTTGCTCGGGAAATCTTTATTGTGCATGTGTAGCTACATAGCGATGATGTCATCACGATCGAGGCTAGTTACATAGAACGAGTAGGAGCGTCCTGTTAGTACTCGTCAATATATATAAAATATCTCAACGCTTTGAACAGAGAGACTGCCCTCGTGTCGATATCGTTATCTTCCAAGGAGTGACGCATAGTAAGATTGAATGTTTTATCTCCTAATTTGTGTCCAGTATTATTAATACTGTTATTTGTGCCGGACATCTTACCCCTTAGTTCCACCAAACAGCTGAGTTGCAGCAACTGAAACAACTGCCATCTATTGGGCCTGTCAGCAGTGCTCGCCGTGGCTGCTTCGTACATTTGGATGTTGAACGTTATGAGTACCGTAGTCCAGTTTAGTCTGGTAGACAACAGTCAGCAAGTTGAGACCGTCAAGGAACAAATGCCGCATTTAAACTTGTCCGATGAAACTCTTCTGTCAGTGTACTATTTTATAAGGGAATTTATTGGGTAAGGTAGACATATATATGTATATATATATAGATTTCTACATTAAATAAGGATAATATATGGGCTTCATAACAGTCCATCTATGAATAACTTATATCGATATATTATGATATTATCCATAAAATATAAACCTCTATAAAAAAAAAAAAAAGAATGCACGGTATAAAGAAAGTTATGATACTGAAATCTTAAACCGGAATTGTAATTGAATTTGTACTAGTGGAAGGTATACAATATTGAAAAGAGTGGAACTGTATATAAGAATTCATGTACATGTGATTTATACGTAAGCTTATATACATTAATAAAAATGATTGAGACATTTTGCCATTTAAAAATTAACTCCCCTCCTCCATTTTCGAAGAACAATTTCTTAGTGTTTTTCTGGTCAAAGGTTGTGTGTGTATGGGGTAGGGAGGGGGTAATTTCTGAAATTCATTTTCAAAATTATTCTGAACTCTAAAGCACAAAAATATGTCGCAACAGCGTAGGCAGACCGAGTCCAGAGTCCATCGACGCGGTTCGATGTTTTAAAGTTAACATCTTTTTAAAGTTGTTTCTCTAAATATGTTCTATTATTTTACAGTTTTCTTGTTGAATGTTCTGAAAATTATTATATTTTCAATAACCATCTTATGGTACACTAATTCCAATATTGTTTAATGTTCACGCGCACTGTGTGCTTATTTACTTAATTTTGATGACATTTGAGGGGCGTTTTTTTTCGGAGTTGAACTCTTCGCTTTCCAGCCAAAACATAAATTTTGAGCTTTTTGTTTCATGAAACTTTCTGCTAATAACTCGGTTCCGCTTTCATGCCATCATCACATTGGATGAGTTTCCAAACACAAGTGTGTTAACGCCCAGCAAAATATAAAAGAGTACCTCATTTTCGTGTTAACTGTAGTGTATTATTATTATTATATATAGTATAAACCTTAAAAATATTAAACGTTTATAATTTGTTAATTTTATTTGAACTGTTTTGCAGACTAAAATTTGACTAATTCAATACAAAAATCAGTTAATTTATGGTTTTAAATCTAACTTTATATTACGAATCGAACCTTCAAAATTTCCAGCCTCATTCAGGTATAATGTTTGATTAGAATAATAACTTGGCGTAAAACGAGTTATGAGCATAATGAAGTAATTTACATTTGGGGGAACAAACTACAATAAGCACAATGAAGTGATGAACCTTTGTAGAATGGACGACAACTGCCTGTTGTAGAGACACAAGTGTAGAGAACGACGTTTCGGAAAGACGGAAAAACTTTCG